ATGACTTCTGTTGTGATCTGGCGCTATAGAGAAAATATAATTAAATAAAATTAACTTGACCTTCAAGGGGGGAAGGGGGCGGGGGGCTTAATGTTCTTTAAAAACGCTAGTAATTTAATAATACTGTTAGATTTAATCTTTAGCAAATCATATCCGTTGTTGTTATGGTAAATTATAATGTTGTGATGGCTAAATTCACTTGTAGCATTTATTAAAATGATTGACTTTAGTTCTTAGTGTTTTATTTTTAATTTATTTAGACAAAATAGCATCAAATTCTAATATCCACCACCACTTATCAGCCACAATTTTAATTTCGATGCATCCTTATTTATTTGTACTTTTCATACACTTCATATATTTATTATTTACTGCTCTGCGGATTGTCTGTTGCTGCCGAGTGTCAAACATAACATCTTTGATCTCCCATGGTGCTTCATGCCTGTTTGATTGCTTATAATTATCCTGGTGCATGCACATCCTCAAACAAACAAATATATCACAGTAATTAAGGCCTTCTGCAGTCCTCTTGAGTTTAGTTAGCGTTATTGTTATTTATTTATTTATTTATTAATAGAGGGAAAGAACCTATGAGTCACCAGATCTCTTTGTTGGAAAGAAAAATGTCCACAGAAGTTTTAAATTCCCACTTCTCTCAGTACAGCAGTAATTTCCGTTATTACGGTTTTATTACAAAAACGCTCTAGTGTTGTTTTAACAAGAGCAAACTGTGCAAAGCAGGAACTGATGACTGTTGAATGTAGCACATTGTTTCAGACCCTGACCGGAGCAAAGCAGAGCATTGTGCCACAGAGATATCGCCCTCTGATGAGCAGAACACATCACTCACACTGATGGCTTTCTGTACCCAGCACATCTCATCACCTCCTGTTTGTGTGCTTTGATTGGTTCAGTGTCACATAAATAATTACGTTCATCACAAAAGTGTGTGGTTGCTGTAGCTGTTAACCAGTATTTGTAGTTCTGATTGGTACAAGTCTTTCAAGTGTTGGAATTATGTTGCTTATTGATAGCCTGACAGGCTGTTGAGTCTTGTAGGTGGATTTTGAGTAAATATTCTTTCAAATAATTAAATTAGGGTATTTATTTTCAACATATTTGTTAGGGATGTAACGATTAACTGCGAGCCAGTTGAAAATCAATTAGAGTGAATCTGCATCTCATTCAGCTTTGCTGTTTCATGCAGATATTTTTATTTATAGTTTCACAAAACTGAAGTCAAACCATTCTGTTTTTGCTTCAGATTTCGAAACTATACAATCTAATTTAGTTTAAAAACTGCTCATATTGCATGTATGCAGCATCTTTGTTTCAAAAATGCAGTGGTTGCCTCTAATTTTAAAAGGAAAGAGCACAGACAAAGCCTTATTTTGTTTATATGAAGATATTTATTTTATTTGTGTTACTTATTTATTTGATTTGGGGCTTGTTTTAAAATTTCAATTTAGTTTTGTTATTTACATTTACATTATATTTAAATTTTGTAATTTAGCAGACGCTTTTATCCAAAGCGATTTACAAATGAGGACAATAGAAGCAATCAAAACCAACAAAAGAGCAGTAATATGCAAGTGCTATATTAGTATATTATTATAGTATTATATTTCAATTTCACAAAGAAATGTGCAGCATTTTGTCCAAGCAATAATAAAAGGACACATTTAATTTATAATTTGTCTTAAATCTAATTTTGTTTAAAAAAATGATAATAATCGTGAAATAAAAATCGTGAATCGAATCGAATCGTGAGTTGAGTGAATCGTTACATCCCTAATATTTGTACATTTCATTTGCTATTATTCAATTGTGTTAAATGTATATTTACATAGGCCACCTTGCTCTCAAGACATTGGTGTTTGTCACACGTTTCCATGCCCATATCGGGTGACCACTACATTTGACTCCCATTTAAAGACCTGAACCCTGAACAAGTAACCAGTAACTGAATCTCTCTCCTCTTTCTCTCTCTCTCCTTCTCTCTAGATAAACGAGTTGAGCCATGTTCAGATCCCCATCATGCTTATGCCTGATGACTTCAAAGCCTACTCGAAGATTAAGGTGGACAACCACCTTTTCAACAAGTGAGTTCTTCTCAAGGTTTTCCTCATTCTCAACTGTTATGTTCCAACATATTTTAATCTTTTAATCATATTAGAGAGGTGAATCTTATGAAACCTGTCAAGAACATGTCTGAATAATATTTAGTTTAAAAAGCAGTTCAACTTAAAGGGTTAGTTCACCCAAAAAGGAAAATTAGCCTGTGTTTTACTTACCCTCAAGTTACTAATGAGAAGATTCATGTTAATCAGATCTTGTTTTAAATGTGTGCTGAAATAAATACCGGAAAAGATCGATTCGCGGCTTTTGGGAATCGATATTGACTCGACGTCATTTAAAAAAACGATTAATCGAAAAATCTAATTTTGTTTTTGCCATCGAATATTTTGAAAAACGTCTCGTCGTTCGGTACCAAATTTCAATACCTAAGGGGTTAATCTCATCAACGTCAGTGAGGCGCAGATCGATCAGTGTTTGACATCCGTGAGAGCGAAAGCGCGTGTTATGTGACCATTCATGCACACTGTACAATGTTTTCACCATTATGACTGTTTAATAGTTCTATAAACAGTTCAATAAGCAAATACAATAATATTAGGTCACTTACATTTTAGGTGGAAACAGCGCATCTCACAGCAACCAGCCTATTCATTGCTGATTGATTCCGTGATTTGAACGAATCGGTTGAGTCAAAGTTTCATTAGCCCATGCATAAACATCTGATGAATCTTCCATTTGAACGAATCATTTAAATGAACGACTCAATGACTCACTCATTAAATGCTCACTACTGGCACCTACTGGCATTTTAATTTAGTTGAAATGTATCATTTGCACCATCATTTCTTGTTTGTATATTCAAAAATATTTAAAATAATCTCATAATAATTATTTAATGCAGTTGTATTTTTCAGTGTAAATGATTTAATTTGATAATGTATAGATAATCACATTATTATAATTGAATTTATAGCTCAAATGTAAGAATTTGAAATGAAAGTATTAATGAGATTAGTCGGAATAGAATAAATCATTTGCACAAAAAACAAAACACACACAGACACACATATATATAAGCTTGATACCATAGAGCCCCCCCCCACATAACAAATCCAAATTTAACCCCTGCATAAGACAATATATAAGATTTATATTCCGCTTTTACTCAAAACTCACTTTAAACCACCGAGTTTTGTTTTTTTTTACATAATGTAATCTTGTTAAAATAGATTTAATAAAATTGGTATCGAAAAAAGTATCGTTCAGGAACCGGTATCGAAGTCAAGTTATCGGTATCGATATCGAAAAATTTTGAACGATACCCAGCCCTAGTGATTAGTGACGAACGCGGAGAAAGAACAAAACAAAACGCCGGTCATGAATTAGAAACACAAAATGAGGATTTGTAAAGAAAAATTTGGGAGGAGTTCGATATAAGCCAAGAGGAGACTGGTTTTCCTTTGCTAAAGTAAGGAAACTTTGCTTCCTTAAACAAACTTGCGAGAGTAGCATATCTCAGAGGCGCGCGCGATGCGTACGTCCTACGTCATCCGCCGGAACGCTTCCGCATGCGACAGTCAGCAGAAGTGAGAGAAAAGTGTTTATTATGTTTGAAATATGGATATTTTTCTTACAAAAATGCATGGATTCGCAACAGGAGACCTTTATTCATGCCCCGGAGCCATGTGAGGCACGATTTATTATGGATGCGCGCACTTTATTTAACGTGTTTTGGACTGTTGAACAGAAACACCCGCCCACTGCAATGTTAGAGCTTAGAAGAGCCAGGACAATTTTTAATATAACTCCGATTGGATTCGTCTGAAAGAAGAAAGTCATATACACCTAGGATGCCTCGA